TAACGATGAAACTTATATCATTCTTTAGTGCTTCGTTAGTAGAGGTTAGTGCTTTAATCAGTTTTGTAGCCGAATTTAAGAATAAAAAGTTATTCACGAAAAAAACAAAAATAAACAAATAATGACGACGTGCCAAAACAAAAACTATAGGAGTACTAAACATCCGGTTTTCGCCATTATTTAGTGCTTAATTAGTGTATTTAAATTCCGTTATTAATTTTGTTAACCGTCATATGAAAAAATTGTAACACGCTAAAGAAATTTTTAGAGGTCAAATTTCGGCTGGAAAATTATGAAAGCACTAACGATGAAACTTATATCATTCTTTAGTGCTTCGTTAGTAGAGGTTAGTGCTTTAATCAGTTTTGTAGCCGAATTTAAGAATAAAAAGTTATTAGCAAAAAAAATAAAAATAAAAAAATAATGGCGACGTGCCAAAACAAAAACTATAGGAGTAATAAACATCCGGTTTTCACCATTATTTAGTGCTTAATTAGTATATTTAAATTCCGAAATTTATTTTGTTAACCGTCATATGAAAAAATTGTAAAATGCTAAATAAATTTTTAGAGGTCAAATTTCGGCTAGAAAATTATGAAAGCACTAACGATAAAATATATATCCTTCCTTAGGGCTTCCTTAGTAGAGGTTAGTGGTTCAATTACTTTTGTAGCCGAATTTAAGAATAAAAAGTTATTTGCGAAAAAAACAAATAATAGCGACGTGCAAAAACAAAAACTATAGTAGTACTAAACATCCGGTTTTGCCATTATTTAGTGCTTAATTAGTAAATTTGAATTCCATAATTAATTTGGTTAACCGTCTTTATAAAAAATTGTAATATGTTAAAGAAATGTTTAGGAGGTAAAATTATGGCCAGAAAATTATGAAAGCACTAACGATGAAATTTATACACTTCTTTAGGTCCTTAGTAGAGGCTAGTGGTTCAATCACTTTTGTAGCCGAATTTAAGAATAAAAAGATTTTTGCGAAAAAAACAAAAATAAACAAATAATGGCGACGTGCCAAAACAAAAACTATAGTAGTAATAAACATCCGGTTTTGCCATTATTTAGTGCTCAATTAGTAAATTTGAATTCCATAATTAATTTGGTTAACCGTCTTTATAAAAAATTGTAATACGTTAAAGAAATGTTTAGAGGTCAAATTTTGGCCAGAAAATTATGAAAGCACTAACGATGAAATTTATATCCTTCTAGAGGTTAGTGCTTGAATCATTTTTGTAGTCGAATTTAAGAATAAAAAGTTATTTGCGAAAAATAAACAAATAATGGCGACGTGCCAAAACAAAAACTATAGGAGTACTAAACATCCGGTTTTCGCCATAATTTAGTGCTTAATTAGTGTATTTAAATTCCGTTATTAATTTTGTTAACCGTCATATGAAAAAATTGTAAAGTGCTAAAGAAATTTTTAGAGGTCAAATTTTGGCCAGAAAATTTTGAAAGCACTAACAATGAAATTTATATAATTCTTTAGAGCTTCCTTAGTAGAGGTTAGTGCTTCAATCAGTTTAATAGCCTAATTTAAAATAAAAAAGTTATTAACAAAATAAACAAAAAATCTATCAGCTACAAACATTTTATTTTTACCATTATTTAGTACTTATTTTGTAAAATTTAAACCCTAATTAGTTTGATTAAAAACCCCAAGTAATTAAAAAATGCATATTGTAACCAAGTCACAAAATATTATTTCCACTACTGTCTAAATAGGTCCATTGAACCCCATTCTTGTGTAATAATTATATAATTTTTATTATTTTATTGTAACAACTACATTTTTTCTCCAGCATCTATTATTCTGAGGTGTCATTGAATGATATAGTTTAAAACATTCTCAGAAATTTTTTATTCTTAATTCAAATTGTTCTTTTTTACTAAGTTTTATTTTATTCGAAAAATTTACGCATATATTTATTTCTATCATAAATTTTAGTTATATTAGGTTCACAATATTATAAAGTACCCGTCGAACCGTGCTCAGACCTATTTTTTTTAAAATAAATCGGGTTCGGGCCTAATATTTTTTAAAAAGGGCCGGGTAGGGATGGGCCTAGAAATTTTATTAAATATATCTAAATTTATCAATTGTATATTAAATTTTTTTTGTAAAATAAAGATATTTGATTTTATTTATAGAAACTAGACAACATATAACATATGTCTTTTATTTTGAATAATTTTAAAAATTATTTTCTAAATTTAAATAATTTCGGGCATGACCTGGCCGGGTCGGTAAATTTTTTTAAAAAAATTTCTGGTTCGGGCCAGACCGGCAAAACTTTTTTAAAAAAATTTCGGACCGCGCCGGGCTTGAAAAATTAGGCCCGATGCAGATCACTAATACTTATGTAGGAATTCTGAGAGTTCCTGATTCGATAAATTACTGACATATTAATCCTTCAAATTTTCTGACACCTTTCTCGACGCCTAAGAAAATTTTAGACCAAAACATTAAAAAATTATATTCGATTCATAAATTTGACGTTCGTCTTTATTAAAAAATTTTTTTTAAAAAATTATATCAAAATATTTTTTACAATAATTATGGAAAGTTATTTAACTATATAAGAATGTTTCACATTATGGAAATGTGTTACATACTATAAAAATTTACAAGTAATCAAAATTTTTTGAGTAATATAAAAAATTAACCACAGAATTCCCCACATGTGATTAATAAATCAACACTCCGCTGTAAACCATATAATAAATAAAAGCCTAACAGCTGCACACATTACAAACAATCTTGAACCATCAAATTTATCTCAAGTAGATGGTTTAAGACCTGATGGTATGACAACCATACCTTGGGCCCTCGGCAAATCACTCATTGGGACTACACGTGTGTCTCATCATTCCCTTCAAACATAAATTTCAATTTAATAACACAGGCAGAAATTAAAAAGACAAACAAATACAAAAATTTTAAAAACTTCATATTCACTCCAGTAGTGACTTCTACTAACGGGCATTTTTTGCCTTCAACATTTATGTTTTTAAAAAATCTGCGTAATAAAATACGACTATTTACAAATGAACCAAGAGAATTCCTTTTTAATCGACAAAAAATTAAAATAGAAATTTTTAGACACAATTATGGTTCATTTTTGAGGACTCAAGAATTTTATTTTTAATTATATAATTATAAATTATAATTTTTTAATTAGGTTTTACATATTTTATAATTTTATATATTTTCATAATCCTTATTACAATTTTTTTATAAAGACGGTTAACCAAATTAATTACGGAATTTAATTTACTAATTGAGCACTAAATAATGGCAAAACCGGATGTTTATTACTCCTATAGTTTTTGTTTTGGCACGTCGCCATTATTTTTTTATTTTTATTTTTTTTGCTAATAACTTTTTATTCTTAAATTCGGCTACAAAACTGATTAAAGCACTAACCTCTACTAACGAAGCCCTAAAGAAGGATATAAATGTCATCGTTAGTGCTTTCATAATTTTCTGGCCATAATTTTACCTCTAAACATTCCTTTAGCCTATTACAATTTTTTATAAAGACGGTTAACCAAATTAATTACGGAATTCAAATTTGCTAATTAAGCACTAAATAATGGCGAAAACCGGATGTTTAGTACTACTATAGTTTTTGTTTTTGCACGTCGCCATTATTTGTTTTTTTCGCAAATAACTTTTTATTCTTAAATTCGGCTACAAAAGTAATTGAACCACTAACCTCTACTAAGGAAGCCCTAAGAAGGATATAAATTTCATCGTTAGTGCTTTCATAATTTTCTAGCCGAAATTTGACCTCTAAAAATTTCTTTAGGATTTTACAATTTTTTCATATGACGGTTAACAAAATTAATAACGGAATTTAAATACACTAATTAAGCACTAAATAATGGCGAAAACCGGATGTTTAGTACTCCTATGGTTTTTGTTTTGGCAGGTCGCCATTATTTGTTTATTTTTGTTTTTTTCGTGAATAACTTTTTATTCTTAAATTCGGCTACAAAACTGATTAAAGCACTAACCTCTACTAACGAAGCACTAAAGAATGATATAAGTTTCATCGTTAGTGCTTTCATAATTTTCTAGCCGAAATTTGACCTCTAAAAATTTCTTTAACATTTTACAATTTTTTCATATGACGGTTAACAAAATTAATAACGGAATTTAAATACACTAATTAAGCACTAAATAATGGCGAAAACCGGATGTTTAGTACTCCTATAGTTTTTGTTTTGGCACGTCGCCATTATTTGTTTATTTTTGTTTTTTTCGTGAATAACTTTTTATTCTTAAATTCGGCTACGGAACTGATTGAAGTACTAACCTCTACTAACGAGGCACTAAAGAATGATATAAGTTTCATCGTTAGTGCTTCCAAAAGTTCGGCCAATATCACGCTTAAATCGTGACGTCATAATTTTTATTTACCTAATAACTTTTTTTCCATATGGCGGTTAACTAAATTAATAATGGAATTTAAATACATTAATTAAGCACTAAATAATGGCGAAAACCGGATGTTAAGTACTACTCTAGTTTTTGTTTTGGCACGTCGCCAATATTTGTTTATTTTTGTTTTTTTCGTGAATAACTTTTTATCCATAAATTCGGCTACAAAATGGATTGAAGCACTAACCTCTACTAACGAAGCACTAAAGAATGATATAAGTTTCATCGTTAGTGCTTCCAATCGACTTTTAAGCGTGAAGTTGGCACAAATTTTTATTTTTGCTTATAACTTTTTTTCCTTGAATTCGGCTACTATACGGATTGAAGCACTAACAAGCACTAACGAAGCACTAAAAAATGACATATGATTCATCGTTAGTGCTTCCAATCGTTCGGCCAACTTCACGGAGCTCATTGTTTTTACAAAAAATTTCCACAAAATTGTACTTCTTTAATTATATTTTTTTTATAACATTCAAATCAATTCCCAATCCATACAAATTTAATTACAAATAAAATAATCAAAATATTAATTTTTTTACATCAATTAAAGAATTTTGAATCTCTTTGAGCTTTTGTTTTTCATGAGATAAATTTTGATCAGCATTTTTTGTTTTACTTTCCATTTTACTGTCTTCTCTTTTAAGTTCACCCAATTCTCCTTCTAGATGTTCGATGTTATTCCCCTTTTCCTAATTTTGTAATAAAATACAATATATAAAGTCTCCTATTAATTAATTAAAACGTTCAGACAGAAAAAAATATTGAATGCCAGAATCAGAAATGTACCTTTCCTTGATCCAGCATAAAATTGTCCATATTTGGATTAATCGATTTTTAAATATAATATTTTTTAAGGTAAAAAAATTCGATAAAAATAATTGTTCACATCCCCCCCCCCCATGGTGATTCGGAATCCCAATTTTAAACCATTTACTCAGACATAAATTTTGAATAATAAGATTTTACAGAAAATGAATTTTGAGATCAATATACCTACCTTGTATAAAATTTTACCGTGAACTTTTGAAAACAGCTTATTTTAATTTTTCACATAAATTCAAAAATCTATAAAAATAAATGAAGCGATAAATTTTTTGAAATTAATATAATAGGTAGGTAGTAGTGAAATGATATCCGGATAAATCAGATTATTAAAAACTAAAAATCGCCTTAAATATAATATTTATAATTGAGAGATTCCAAATCATCATGGGAAATATCGGATCAGATAGTCGCAAAGACATAATTTCCTAAAGAAAATTATAACTAGTAATTAATCATTATTTTTTTATTTAAAAAAACTTCAAGGATTGGTTATTTTTCGTAAAAATGATTTGAATCTAATTTAATAAACCATTAAATTCGTAAATTTATAAACCTTAAATTTTGATAGCTAAACTTTTTATAAATATGATAAACTTTAAGCTTAATTAAATTTATTTTATATCATTGTCCTTTTATTTATAATATATTAAAATTGATTTTAGAAAGATGAATATTGATAACTTTGAAGATATAAGGTTATCTCAATTAACATACAATTTTAAGAGTTAAAAAAATATATAAAAAGAAGAATTAATTTAGAACGAAAATAAATTAACTAATCCTTTATGCATGATCTGATTTTTCTCACTTTATTTCAAAATTGAACCTTTTTCCAAGCAATTAATCTAAAAAAGATTTGTTAATTTAAATTACTATTATAATGATTACTGATTTTTGTCATTTCATAATTTAAAATTTTGTAGATTAAGTTTTGGCTCTAAATGAGTAATTACAAATAAATTAATTAATATAATTTTTTCATATATTTAAAATAATGGAAAAGATAAAATTACTTTTCCTTTTTTAGTTTTGTTACATAAATTTTAAAAAAAAATTTTTGCTAAATTCTTTTGTATTAAATTTAGAAATAATATACTTCTCTCTAGTGTTGTTATATGACTAGATTTAGTAAGCTACAATATGACTCAAGCTAAGTCTACCAAATTAGTCAACTATTCATATGCCCATTTTGGTTTGAATAATATAACGGATTCTTTAAAAAATATTCAAAGATTTTGATTTTTAATTTCTAAAATAAAAGATATATGGCTACAAATATATCTAATTCATGTTTTTTTTTTAAAAAAATATTCTTGAAAAGTAGAAAATATGGGTGCTAGTCAACGTCGTTTTAGTTTTGCTAGGTTACTCGACTATGACTTTTAGTTGTGATCAGAAGAACTCGATTAATTGTCAACACTATTTTTCACTGTAAATATTTACTAAAACTCTTAATAATTTCTAATATCAAAATAAAGTGTATAATTTCAATTAATTTTTAATTATATTAATTTAATATAAAAGAGTCAATTTTATTTAAAAAGCAGTTTCAATTTAAAAAATTAAATACAAATGTGAACAATATCAAATCAGAAATATATTTTAAAAAATACAAATAAGAATATATTTTAAAAAAAAAATATTAAATTTTATATAGAAAAACATTTAAAAAACTTCAAAAAAAGATTCATATCATCCTAGAGAGGAGTGAATGCTTAGGAAATTAGACTGGCAGATTTCTCATCTGCTGATGAAAATAGAATTCTTTGCTGAGGTCGCCTCTATATTTTTAAAATTAATTTTAACAGGAAGGTCCATTTAATTCCATTATAAAGTTTATAATTTTTGATAAAAAAAGAATTTCTCTGAATTTTATAAAATTTTAAGCAAATGTCACTAAAACTAGCTACATCTGTAAAAAAAATGGAATGCCAAGTTTTTTCTTTTATCAGGGGATACTTAAGTTTTTTTTCTTCTGTAGGTAGCATAAGTAATTATTTGTTTTAATATTATTAAAATATATTTATTATGATATTTTTATAATAATAAAAAATATAAAATAACAAAATTTTAAATTTTACAAAAAATTCTGAGGTTGAATGGTTTAAAAAATATTTTTGGAATATAATACATGTTTAACTGCCTTTAAGTAATTTAGCAATAAAAACTAAAATATATATAAATATGTAAAGAATCTCTACAATAATGAGAATATTATATAAAAACATTTTAAACTATAGTAGGACAATTTATTGTATATTATGCTAAATAAATATTCTTTATCTCGATTTTTACTATGAAGGTGAAAACTTGGCATTCCTATTTTTTTTATATATAATATATAAAGAGATTGGTCTTAACAACGTTTTTCAAATTTTATAAAAATCAGAGAAACTCATTATTACAAGGATTTTAAACTTTAAAATGTATGCAAAAATGAAACGATTTATCAACACTTGCTAGAGCACCAAGCTGTTGCCCATAAAATGTAGGGGAAAATTTGAAAGGGGGTACTTTTTTTTGAAATATTTTTTAGAAAATATTGTACCCCCATTGTTGTAGAGTAGAACCTCAAATTAGTTATTTTTATAATATAAATTATTTTTTTTTATAAAAATGCCAATCAAAAGTTATACAATCTGGATATTGATAATTAATGAGAATATTTATTGTTGAAATACAAAAAAATATTAATTAATAAAATTAAAATATTTGATAAAAAAAATTAAGAAATAAATTGTTTGAAAGATTTAAATCCTATGTTCTAAAATCAAAAATAAAATTCTATAAGGTGCCAACCAAAAATAAAGATTTAGAAATTCCAACCCAAAAAAATTAAGATAATGATGGTGGTAAAATTTTTTTAGAAAATATTGTACCCCCCCCCTCTTCCCCTTGGATATTTGGAGGAAAATTTGTTTTACAAGTCATATATACAAAAAAAATAAAAAAAAGGAAGTGATATAAAAAAATGGATTAAAATATAAACTAGTGATCTGCATTGGGCCTAGTTTTTCAAGCCCAGCCTTGGCCCAAAATTTTTATAAAAAAAATTTTTTTGTCCAGCCTGATCCCAAACAAAAAGTTTCATCGTTAGTGCTTTCAATCGACTTTTAAGCGTGAAGTTGGCACAAATTTTTATTTTTGCTTATAACTTTTTTTCCTTGAATTCGGCTACTATATGGATTGAAGCACTAACAAGCACTAACGAAGCACTAAAAAATGACATATGATTCATCGTTAGTGCTTCCAATCGTTAGGCCAACTTCACGGAGCTCATTGTTTTTACAAAAAATTTCCACAAAATTGTACTTCTTTAATTATATTTTTTTTATAACAATCACGTCAATTCCCAATCCATACAAATTTAATTACAAATAAAATTTTATGCTGGATCAAGGAAAGGTACATTTCTGATTCTGGCATTCAATATTTTTTCCTGTCTGAACGTTTTAATTAATTAATAGGAGACTTTATATATTGTATTTTATTACAAAATTAGGAAAAGAGGAATAACATCGAACATCTAGAAGGAGAATTGGGTGAACTTAAAAGAGAAGACAGTAAAATGGAAAGTAAAACAAAATGCTGATCAAAATTTATCTCATGAAAAACAAAAGCTCAAAGAGATTCAAAATTCTTTAATTGATGTAAAAAAATTAATATTTTGATTATTTTATTTGTAATTAAATTTGTATGGATTGGGAATTGACTTGAATGTTATAAAAAAAATATATTTAAAGAAGTACAAAATTATTTTATGTATTTAAATTATGTAAATTTTAATATTATTTTTTTGTAAAAAAAATGTTCTACAAATAAAAAATATTAGCGCCTTGTTTCTTGTAAGAATTTTAAAATTTATCAATTTATTTGACAAAATGTAATGATATCTATTTAAAAATTTATGCCTGACTTGGTTCCAGCCCAAAATTTATTAAAAAATATCAGGCCCAATTTTTTTTTAAAAAATACCAAGCACATTCAAAACTTATTTGGGCTGGGTGATAATTTGTAGATCTTTAATCCATTTTATATTCCAATCTTTATTTTATAATAATATAAATACCATGAAAAATATTAAATGACTCGATTTTTAAAAATGGCTAGTCTAATTAGCCAAAAAATATTACGCAAGTTTGGAGATTTTGCTTATAGTTGGCAGAGAATTTTGGACAACTATAACAAAATTTCGAGGCTTGTGTACTATTATTTTGACAAAGATCTTAATTTAAAATTGGCTAATTTATTTAACAATGCTAAAAATATGGTTATTAAAATATTCAAAAAGAAATTAATTTTAACAGATATTTTTCAATTATAGTGATGCTACATATGATGTTCCAAAATCAGAAGTATTTGTTAGTATAATATATTGAAAATGGTGAAACGCCTAAGGTTGAAAGATTAATGGATATATATTTTAGTAACCGATAAGGGTTGGAAATTTAGTAAATATTATGTGCAAATTTAGTTCCATGATTCTACCCCTTGAATTCTTAGTTAAGCAAAGCTATGATGATGCTTCAAGCATGAGTGAAAATCGGCTTTGATTTGAGCTGAGGCCCCAAAAGATAGCTTTTTTTGGTGCTATTGTAATCGATTATATTTAATCATTGTTAAATTATGCCAATCGATAAAAGAACTAAGAAATATTTTTGAGATTTTCTACGAGATTCACGTGTATTTTATGGCGTTAAAATATATGCAAAGCTCGAAACATGTCAGGGTGATATACTGACAAAATCGCAATAATTTTTACCTATCAAAAATACTACTGGGTAATATTATCTTTTGTTTAGATTTAAAATGTGTATTTTATATTTATATGATATAATTAAATAAGGCTATTGTAAAAAAAATTTATGATGGCAGTTTTTTTCTTTTCCGTTTTATGGCGATCTCCAGGTTTACCCAGGTAGGTCAGTTTACCCTCTGATTTTTCTTTTCCATTTTTGACGGTCCTTAGCATCAATATTTGTAAGATTCGTGCTTCTCATATCCGCCGCCATAACATTTGTCCACGTCATTTGGGCCTTGCTCTAGGTCTTGATTTTACTACTTCCATCAAGGTGCATCTCTTTACCCAATCATTTGTCATGCAATCCACATGCCCAAACCATTTTAGTTGATTTCGTCGCAATACCACTCCAATAATTTCTATACCCAATTTTGCCCTCAAATTCCTTGCTAGTTTTTCTTTCTCTCAGAGATACCGCACACATCCATCTAATCATCCTCATTTCGTTTCTCTCTAATGTAGCTTCATGCGTGGCTTTCATTGCCCATGTTTCGCCGCAATAAACTAAAAACTCCTCACAAAGCTTTGGTAAACTTTCCCCGGTTTTACACCTTGTCGAGGAGAGTGTGATCCTATTCTAGACCCAGATCACAGGGAACCTTTTAAGCCTCCATTGATGCCAAAAGACGTTGCCAGTCCCCAACAACGATGAGGCTGAAGGTAAAGGATTCTGAAAATCCTGCCATTTCCACCATGGCTAGAATAGAAAAATTTTATTTTATTTTATCAGTTTGTGTTTTGGATAAAATATTGTTGATAACAAGCTTGGCTTGTAGAAAATGGCAAGAGATGTTGAATACGGTTTGCAATAAACTAAATTTAATTGGCAAAAGATTGCCTGATTAATTTGAGAAGTATAATATAAATTATTGTCTTGTATCATCTAGTAATCTTATTAGCAGAGTTGTTAAAGTAGCGAGCTATCTTTTTTGGTAGCTATAGCTAATAGCGCATTATTTTTTTTAAAATCTACTTTTTAAAAATATAAGGAATATAACTATAAACATGAAAATTTAAATATAATATCATAATTAATTATAATTTTTATGATATATTATTTAATTTTGAAATTGAAATACATTTTCAATTTGTAATTCATATTTTGAATTTGTATTATAAACCTAACTCACGTGTAAATTATTTAAAATGTCATCGCAAATGGATATCCAAATCGTTGAAAGTGAGTCAGATGATAATATTAATGAAATGGAAGATACCTGGGAAAATTTTTTTCTTAATAACAATAATAAAATTTCCCATTTCCAAAATATGTAAAATATTTTGATATTAATATAAAAACTAAAACTGGCTACAAATTTATTTGCTTAAAATGTAAAAAAAATATATTTTCAAATCAATCCAGTAGCTATAACCTCAAAAAACACCTGAAGGTAATTGTAATTTTTAAATTCTAATAGTATTTATTTTATAAAAATGTTCATGTCAACAGTTTTAAGGAAATAGAAAAACATCTAAATAATTTTCGTATAGGCGACTCTACATTCAAAAATTAATTCAATTCAAACCACATATTAATAATGCACATGCCAATATTTCTCAGAAACTGGTTGATAAAGTTATTATTGATTTTATAATTGATACAGTTCAGCCAATGTCTTTGATTGATAATCCATCATTTACCATGATGATTAAAACTCTATCTCCTGGTACATAATTTTATGTTGCCAGAAACTAATGAATCAGATAACAGATAACTTTAAAGTGATGAAAAATGCTCTGATACCTATTCATCAGAGATGCTCATAATCTAATTTTGATAACAACAGTGGATGCTGAAGGAGTCCTAAGAAATGAAAATTTTTAAAGTGTATCAAGATTCACTTTTATAAATGTCACACTATATGGAATATGCAAAACAAATCATCTAAAAGTTCAGACATATTTTTAAAAAAATTAGGCAGGTATTTATTAACACTTAACCCATTATGAACTCAATATACCACTCAATTAAATTAATAGCATTTTAAGATTAGAAATGAATTTTCTGGTGATCATGTTAATATATTAACGATGAAGAGTATACTTTTATAAAAATACAGAAGTAATTCTAATTAATAATTATTCAATTTCATATCATTTTAATTTTTTAGGTTATGTAATATGTGGCTCTTTCCCTTGAAATTTTGGAAGGTGAGGATAATATGGAGATATCATGTTCCCACTTTAAATATTCTAATTTTACAGATTAAATAATCTAATCGCCTGCCCCTAATAAACTCTATGTTAAAAGGCATTGAGAGAAGGTAAATAAAATTTAGTTATTCTAGCTTAAAGTTAAAAGCTAAAAATTTATAAAATTTTATGATTAAGATATATTTTAAATACACTATTTCAGTAACTTTTAGATTACTAAACTTATAAAATGATGATATTGTATTAATTGTAATGATTCATCCCAATTTTAAACTAAACTTAACATATATCAATTCAGATGATGCTAAAGATCAATGTAATAAGCTAATCGTAAAGTTGAATAGTCTATACCAAACAAGATGGCCTAGTTACAAGCACAAAAATGACTTCCACTGATAATTTTTTTGAAATAAAAGATAACATAATAGAAAATCACCTCGCGTTTTTTAAATCTAAAAATACTCAAATGTTAATTTTTGATAATCTTACTTATATTAAAATTATGTATATAAAATTAAATACTGCCTTGCCCTCAAGTGCTAGTGTTTGATAGATCATTTAGTAAGGCAAAATTTATACTTTCTGATCATCGATCTAGACTTGGGGATGAGATGATAATATTGAAATGATTTTATTATTAAAATGCAACAAAATAGATAAAAAATGAATATTACTATAAATATTTATTTTATTACATATATTTTTTATAATCAAAACAATCTATATTTAAATATTTATAAATGTTGATTTTTATATTATTTACTATACAATAATTATAAACAAAAAAATAAAACAAATATGTTTCTAAATTTTTTTTATAAAAGGTAGCTTAAAAAGTAGTTAAAGCTACTTTTAAAAAATGCAGCTTCCTTTATTGACAAATAGTGGTAGCGGTAATGCGCTACTTTTAAAAGTAGTGTTTTAACAACTCTGCTTATTAGATACTAAATTTTTGAATGTTTTTTTATGAAGTGTAGATATCTACCTTTTAATTTTGAAGGTTCTAGGCTGGCTTCAAACATTATGATCAAAAATGGAGAGGTATATATACTTTCTTTATTAAATATAATATTTCATTTTTTAAAACAAACTAGTATATTTTATGCTGCACTTGATTTAATAATAATGCAGTTTAATGAAATATTTAATGATGAATTAATAAAATATTTAGATATAATATTTTTCCCAAAGAGAATGACAGAAAATAAATTTCAGATGATATCTGGGAATTTTAGCATTTGAATTCGAGTCAAGAGAGTCTTTCAAAATATTTCTCCTAAAATTGAATTGACTACACTTATAATTTTGACGTTTTTTCCATCCATTGCCTTTGTGGCCAAAACAAATGTTTTTAATAAAAATTCTTTATGTCTTATAATGTTTAAAAAAAACTTAGATTTTATTCATCCGTCCAAATATCAGTGATTATAGACAAGTAATTATTATTGATCATGCTTTTAATCTTAAATTTTATTTCATGGTATATTTTTGGACCTAAAGTATTCATGAGAGTTTTCTGGTTCACAACTTTTTTATATTGTTATCCATATGTAACACCAACATTTATCTCTTGGCCTAGCTTGTAAAATTCTTCACTTTCTGTTACATTTGAAGATTGAAGTTCTTTACAAATAAAATATAACTGACTTTTCTGTAAAAAGTTTAAGCAAAATTTAGCATAAAGTCTAGCGATAAAAAACACCTAAACATAAAAAGAAAATAGATCTAACGAAATGATACCGGATGTTGTTTATAAAATGCGGAAGATTTTTAGTTTTCATAAATTATTCTTTTTTAAAAAAGAACTAAATTAAATAAGAAAATATAATTATAAAATTGCAAATTCATAATTATAAAATTGCAAATTTATATTTATAAAAAAAACAATTTTAGAAATTAAAATTTACGTGATTCATGGGAAATTTATGTTCACGCCCGGGGAAAATTTTGGGAAGGCCCATCACGCCTTGGAATTTAAAATTTATTCACACTCACGCCATGACCCTTCATGGCCCGTGCCCACCTCTAATAAATACTATTATAAATCATTTTATCAATGGAAGAAAATTTATATAAATAATTAAATATTGACAAAATTATAAATTCTTTCATTTTCACTCTCCTAATTTGTTTAAATTATTTATTTTAAAAAATATTTTCAAGATTAACTGCTTTTTTGGAATGGAATATTTTATATAAAGGTAGGTGGGGGCCGGGTATTTTTTTATAGGTGGGGGTAAGAGGAATTTTCCTTCTATCATTCAGAAATTGTAGGGGCTCATGGCCCCAAGGTTAATAATAAATAAAGTATCTAATATCTCTTTAAAAATCCATAGAATTATTAAATTTATTGTACTTTTCCTAATTTTTTTTCTAATTCGTGTATATAAGTATCAAAGCTTAATATCATCAAATCTTTTTTTGCTATATCTGATTTATTACACTGAATTTTAAGCATCACTTCCGATAATTTTGTCTGATATTTTTCAAGAGATTCCTAATGAAACTAAAATATAATTTAATTAAATATTTTGTGAAAACTTGGGCATTCCAATAAATATAGGCTTTATAAATTTTATCAAAATGATCTAAATCTTGTGTAATTTTTTGATAATCAAGATAGGATGCTTTATCCTTATTCAACTTTTCTAACAATGGCATTATTTCTTCTTTAATAACCTTAAATAAATATATGTGTGTAAATAACATAACCATTTTATAATACTTTATGAATTTCTTCTAATTTTGAATCTTTCTTCTCAATAATTTTTAATGCAGAATTCCGTTTAGTATCATATAGCTTAGTTCCAACTGTTTCTTCAATAAGAGATAGTATCTAAATCAAAATTTAATATTAAAAATCAATATTCCTGCATTTTAAGGGATTATTATATAGTTCAAAATAATTAAAATGCATATAAACTTCGATAGCTTTCATATTCAATACTTTGGTAATACGCCCTTGCATAATTAAAAAATGTGGATTATTTACATTTAAATTGACTGAACGAAATAAATCACTAACACGCTGATTTGTTGAATTATACCCATTAATTAAATATTTATTTTTACCACCAGAAATAATCTAAAAACTATATTATATCTTAGCTATTCTTAAAATTCAACCTGTCTAGTAATTATAATTTCTTCCGAGTTGTCATATCCTATTGGGGACTGTGCTTTAAATGAATTATCAAATATTAGACTAACAGTAGCTTTTGTAATTCCAGCTTGACCATTTTTATATATGAGTTCTTGTAAATTGTTTACCCTAACCTTAAAAAGCATATAAGCATTAGAATATTTTCTTTACTTGAGATAAATTAGAAATTCCCAAAACAAAGCATATAGAATCCAGGATATTGGATTTACCACTTCCATTTAATCCTGTTATAGCATTAAATTCTTGATCGAAATTTTTAATCTCCGTTCTTTGGGAATAAGATTTAAAGCCATCAATAATGATTTCTTTGATATACATATTACTAATTGATCAATTTAAAAAATTGCGCGTTACCAAAAAATTAAATATACTCTAATTATATATGACTTGACAAGGCAAATAAACATCTGACATGTATCAATCAATGACTTTATTAAATTTAATATATTAAGTTATAAAATGCATCCTTGAAATTGAGTTTTAAATATCTGATCAAAATTCTGCTGAAGCAAATTTGACTGCGAGAGCCCAGGTATAGAAGCTCCAACAATTATATTCGATGGGATTTTAAAAAATTAGAAAGAAAATATAATTGTATGATATTAGCTAATTTGTATTGATGCAAATGTCGTAGATTAGCTCTAAACGTATATTAATATTATTTAAAGATATTTTTTAAAAAAATGCCTTTCATTTATAATAATAAGAGTATATTATAAACCAAATTGGAGTGTCACCAGCTTGTTATTTTAAACGTCACTTAAAATATATTTTAATGAATCTTCAATACTCTTGTGAAAAAAAATGACGTTAGTACTATGGTTGGGTTTAATAGGCCCCAATTTCATGTATATATTAAGTAATATTCATTATTTTCATTTGATATTTGGATATAAGATAGATCTAACCTCAGAGTTGTACAAAAGATCCTCTATGAAGATTTTTGAGCGAGATCTCAAAAATTTGAGCAGGATTGAAGAAAACAAGTTAATATTTGTGTTTTAAATTACTTTTATTTCTACTTTTAAAAAATCAAATAATAATAATGATGATATGTATACAGTCAAAACCGTTTAATTGCGAAAGCTTGGGACCAAAATATTTAAAAATTTCGCAATTATCCGATTTTTCGCAATTATACGATTAAAATTCAACAATTTATTTATTAAAATCAGTTTGTGTTTTTTATAAAGATATTTATCATCTATATATATTTTAATCATATAAGCCATCAAACTTTGCAATAAATACAATTTTTAATTAATGTAACCAACTATATATTTTAATTTGAATAAGTTATGTAACGAATACAAAAACTAAATTTTAAAAATTTATATTATTTGTTGAAACATATGATCATAGCTTTTTTTTCTTCCCACCAATAATCCTATATTTTTATCGTCAATTCATCAAGTTATTATTTTATAAAAAGTATTCAATTAATTTAAATCAATCAAATAATATTAAGATATCTGAAGCACTTGAAAGTAATGTGATATATTTTGATATATATATTTATATTTTCTCTAGATCTAGACATGATTATAGACAGAAAGGAACAAAGAAAACAAGACTTAATTATAAAAAGATTGTAATTATTTATGTATTAGCGTTGTTGATAAATTATTTTTTATTGAATAAAATTATAATTAAATTTGTTTACTTGATTTTATCTCATTTTTTATTTAAGATATGTAAGAATTAAAGCAAAAAAAGCTTTTGTGAAAGATAATAACATTTTTTCCTTTACAATACCCTTATATTTATTTCCATTAATTTTAACTACTTTTGTCATTTTACCTTCATTAAATTTACTGAAATATAATTTTACACAAATATATTATCACTTTTTAAATTCTAATTTATTATTAAAGCCAAATTTTAAAATATTTTGCCTAAAAAACTGGAAACAATAAGATTAATATAAAAGAATTTAAGTTTATTAAGTGTTTTGTTTTCATTCACATGATATTTGATTTAAAATCCTATGCCTATTCAAATCTTATAAATTCTAATATTATAAATATAAATGTATTAACAGACCATGCTGGAATGAAAGTTTATTAATGCTTTATAACATAAGATTTTATTTGAACTAATTTTATTATACATGTATCACAATTATTATAAAGTAATATAAGATTTAATAAAAATATTTTGTGATAAGAGTTTGGCTAGACTCTGGAGTAAATAATTCTTTTTCCACTATATTCTCTAGCTTTCTTAGTGAATCTTGATCCCTTAGATGTTCATGAGCAGATTCAAGAAAAGTATAATAACCATTAAGAGCCTGATTTTTTGTAATTAAATGATCAGATATCTCTAGGTTCCCTTCATCATTCTCGGAGCTTTCATAACCTTCTATAAAAAATAAGATTAATTAAAATTTTAAGTAATTAAACCTTCCAACTCTAATCTTATCTGATTACAAATATCCTGATCATCTAAAATTCCATGGCAGCTAGCATCATCATCGTGTAACGCATATTCTTCAAATATGGGATCAAATTCATCTTCTTCGTTGTCAGTTAATGCTATATCATCCTCCAATTTCCAATCAAATGCCATAGACTTATCAAAAAATTTAGCTTCAATAAAACACTTTATGATTGTGGTACTTGTCACCTCACCCCATGCAAATTTTATAAGATAGAGGCTATCATAAAGTGTAAATCTTTTATAAAAAGAGGTGGTGTCATTTCCTTCCATCAATGTTATCATTTTTCTCATGATACCCTTTCTATAATGACATTTAAAGGATCTAATTGCACCCATGTCCAAAGGTTGAATTAATGATGTTGTATTTGCTGGTAAAAAAATTAATTAAATTTTCTTCTTTAATGAGGAATCTCATTCTTTAAGAATATCTTCAAAAGTTGAGGTTGTCATCCAGCTGCTTTTATTGGAGTAGTATTTAACTGGTAATTTTTTATTTTTAAAGCACCTAGGGTTTTTAAATTTCCCTACAACATATAACTTTTTATCAGATCCATCCCCATTTATGATAAATAGAACTGTGACCTTTTTCTTGTCTGGTTTGAAGCCCAGTGGTTGAGTTCCACTAAATTCCATTGTGCCCTTTGGTAATGCTAGGTAGTATAGTCCTGTCTCATCACAATTGTAAATATTACTCCTTTGATAATCTTTAATCAGAGATGGGAGTGTATTTCTGCTCCATTCATTTGCATTAATAATATCTGCACTCCCCTTTTCATTGCAAACATTATAAAAATTTATATTCTGTCTTTTCCTAAATCTCTGCAACCAGCTGCTAGTAGGAATGCCTATAATTTATATATATATATATTATAAAAACTTATAATTACCTTCATTGAATGTTTGGCTAAAAAACATAGCTTTTTCTAACATCACTGGCCCATTTAGACTGCAATTTTTACTTCGCATTTGGGTAAACCAAACCAATAAAGCTGCTTCTGTCTTTGGGTAACAACTCATTCTAACTCCTTTAGTTGTAGGATTTTTATTCCTTAGAAATTGTGAGCATAGATTTTCTTTATTCGCTATTAAACGGTAGATTGTCGAGACGTGGCAATTGTAATTTGATGCTAATTGTGTTTTTGATGTAGTGTTTAATTTATCAATTATTTCTTTTTTATGCTTCAGGGTTAATGTTTGGAATGATTTTTTTACCATTTTTATATTAATTTCTGGCGTGGTAATGAATGAATGAATGAATGAATAAATGAATGGAAAAAGGTTAAATAAAAAAAATGATGAATAATTTTTTTCGATAAATTTTTTTATTTTTTCACTTATCCGATTAAATTAACGTTATTGTTATATAAATGGGACCTGAAAAATTTTGTAATTATCCGATATTTCGCAATTAACCGATTCGCAATTATAAATGTAATTTAACATTATACCATAGTAATTATTATCAAAATCGCGGGGTTTTTTCGCATTTAAAAGTTTTTGCACTTAAGCGATATGCAATTAAACGGTTTTGACTGTAACAATCAACTGGTATATAAACTAAACATTTCAATAGATATTCAAATTAATACTCAATTAACATTAAAATAAATTATTTCAACTGATCACAAATTTAAATAAACAACACAATTAACATTCCCCTCTTCGACAAAGTATCAAGTTGCTGCTCGGTGGGCGCATAAGTCTGTTTGAGTCGCGTGAGTTCATACGTTTAGGTTTGTTAAAATTGTTGTACGTTATCATTATCATAAGGAATAATTGATCAAATTTGAATATATGGAATACGGAATAAAATTTTATAATTGAAAAAAAGAATTTGGAATAAAAATTTTGGAAGATGGAATGATAAATATGTAGAATTCCGTAAGAATGATAAATCAAAAAAGATTATTATATAAAATTTCGCGTTTTTTTAAATTTTGCTTTTATATATTTTATTTTAAAAATTTAAGTAGCGTTTTATTTTAATATTTTATTTTAATAATTTAAGTTGTGTTTTAATATTTAATTTATTTTTATTTATTTTCAATCTCCGAGGTTTAAAATATGCAAATAAAATATTATTCATATTTCCCTCTCTTTAAATAAAAAATTTAAATTTCACACCCTAGTTTTAATTTATAAAGTGTTATTTTTAATAAAAATTCTTCATAAGATAATTTTTAGAAAATGATCTCATCACATCATTTAAATACTTATCTAAAATGAAGATGTTACATAACTTGTCTTCAAAAGCTTTATTTCAAAAACATTTTTATCATATTAAGTATTACTTATAAGGGTTATTTAAATCAATCATGTGATTTAAACCTTTTAATTCATGTTTTAATTACATTTTAATATATTTAAAATTAAAGTTTTATCTTCTTGTTTAGGATTTTTAATGGTTTATTTTTAATTATATCTAAAAATTCATCTTTAGGTTTAGTTAATTTACAACAATTGGTCATCATATAAGAAATCAAAAAAATATCAATATTTCACTAAGAAATTAAGTAAATAATTTTTTAAGGCTTTTTATGTGTTCAAATATGTCCATTATTGATTTACATTTAAGTTATTTTAATAAGTAAATTAACAACATGCCTTTATCTCGGCATAAAATTTTAATTTATAATAACTTTTCTTCTTATGTGTATTAGAATAATAAGTAATCATCATTGGTCTCACAATATAGAATTCATAACCTAACGTCCAACTTCCATATCGGTTCTTTCTAGGTTGTCACATTAGATTAGGTGTTGGTCATCATATTCCAGTCCAACATCCAGAGCCAGGACACCCTGAAGAAAGAAGCTTTTTGCATGAAAGAACGTGCTAAGGTTTGATTATTGGTCATCTCAATAAATTAGGTAGTCATC